TATTTGCCGATGCATTTTTGCGGTTGTGGTTTTTTTTTTTTCTTTTAACGACGCTTTTAGTGTCGAGAAAGTAAAATTGGCGATGTACTTACTTCTTTTTACGTGATGCGTGATGCGTGATTTAATAGAAAAATTCAGCGTGATGCCGGATTGGTACCCCACCTTTGCCACCCTCTTTCGAGAACATTCTTCACACCGGAGGAATTTGAAAACGCTGTCTTTGCGTTTTAGTGTGGACCGAAACATTTTGAAAACGTCAAGAGCTTTTTGAAAACGATGACGTCATGATAATCATGTGATTTCCCTGTCCGAGTTTTCATTTATCTAAAATGAACGGTGATTGGTGAGTTTTCAAATTTCTCCGTCGGCGTAGTGTGAACGAGATCTTACACCGCATTATTGGCTTAAATTTCCAATTCTCTCAACAAGAATAATAGAAATTAAAAGAGTAAAGTAGAGAGGATTGAGACTTTAATAGCAATGAAAGTACTCTGTGAAGCAGCGCCGTTGGAGTCTGTGTAATGCAAAACTGATCAATTGCCGTATTAATTTGTCATACCGTCAATGTCAAATTTCCGTCATTTACGCCAGGATATTTGTTGATTCCGTTCTTGATGTTATATAAAGTTATATAAAAATATAGATTAATACTTTCAAATAATACAAATGAATATAGGAAAAGTTTATATATTTGAGCTGCGGAGAATGATATGAAGATATGATTGATCATCGCAGTTATACACGCAACTTAAGTAGTTGTGAAATTTTTTTCAGGCTTTAATTTCAATGTTTAATGTGTTTAATGTGTTTAATGTTTAATGTTTAATGTTTAATGTTTAATGTTTAATGTTTAATGTTTAATGTTTAATGTTTAATGTGTTTAATGTGTCCAATTTGATCTGTTTTTGGTATGACGTAGCATGATGTCAGAATCTTTTAACCCATCAGTTGTAATATTAAATTCCTTTAACCAGGTAGTAGTTTGTGTCCAAAAGTCTTTACTTAATTGGCAGTATAAAAACAAGTGCTCGAGGGATTTCTTCGAACTCTCCACAGAACGCGCATGCCGAAGATTCCGTTAACTTAAATTTATATAACAAATTTACAGGGCCTAGTATGGAGCCCCCATGTTGGTAATCCTCTGTGGTAAACTAATATGGCGGCCGAAAAATAGTGAACATGGAATCACGGCAAGACAATAAGGCGTTTTCACGTGACGTCATCAAATTCTTAAATCCAAAACTAAAAAGCCACCAAAGTTTTTATCGTAATCAGGCAGAAGAGCTACTAAGTTTATATCTGTTTACAACTTTCCATTTCAACTTCAACTTCCAACTTCACCTTATTTTGCACTTTATACAGTTTTGAAATTATCATATTAGCATTAAAAAAGAAAAAAAAAGATACATATATAACAATATAACTGTTGTGAATTGCTTTAATGCTCTGATTAATTTCTCAATACAGGCTTACATCAAGCTCAACGCTAATCACTCTCGATATACACTTTTCATTACTCGCTCGTTCAACTCGATCCCACGTGTACAAGATCTCTTCTTTTGTCTCTTGTCAGTTTTAAGTAAATATTAACAGCGTCACACCCTTATTACGTAATCATATTCTCGACATAACAATAGCGTCCTTCGTTTGGAAACCAACGCATTTTGAATTTCAGAGTTATGGCGGTGCGTGACATAGCTACGATCGCGTTTGTCGAAAAAGATATATTTATCTCGTGATTTTTAGCCACTTAAGACGTTAAAGTATTTGGAAAAGTGCTTATTTAAATGTTTGTTTGTTCAGAACAGATAATCAGTGTCCTAGATAACCAAAGTAAGTTCCACTAAGCAATTAATTCGATGGTAAAAAAAATATTCAAAGTACTTCAACCCCTACAAAGCGACCAGGTTGGAGTTAAAAATACTAAAATTTTGGAGCCACAATGGTGTGCGTGACTGTCGTGACTTTCTTCCGTTACAAGTTTCGTGGGTCCTGGGTCGGGTGATGACGTAGCCTGGCAGCGTTTCTGTAAACACGGACAAAGCGAAAGTGACGAGCAGTCTGAAGCACCTCTGGGAGGACATATGTTCTGGTATGGGGACCACGACATCAAGTTGCCGTGTAGAGGAAACGATTTCTACACATTACGACCATGCCACTGTTTTGGAAGAGCAAGTGAATGGGTCGGAGTCATTTCGGCTGTATAGAATTACATCATATCGTTACGAGGCAATCCTTTATAACCCTCAACACTCACCAAACTGTTTTAGTCTTTATCGAATACCAGAAGAAGCAGAGGCTAGGATAAAATTCAAGTAAGTATAGTGATTGTTTTAGTTTTACCTCTCCTGTGTGGCATAAATATATTTGCTAAGATGTAATAATATTGGTTAAAAACACCTGATCATGTGTTAATTATACATGAAGCGACTTGTTAATTGTGAAGACTGTAAACTCTAAGTTAAAATGGATTAGCATATTTCTGCATTAATTCTCAGCAAGGTAGGTTGTGAAGTAGATAAAGGAACGATGTTTTGGATAAGCTTGCCTTTAGGTGATTTTTTTCAACCTTGTATTTTAAAGCAACCATAAATTTAAATTAATCAAATTATTAAAATAAGCTGCTAAATTATTCCAATTTTCTATAACTGAAAGTCTTTCCTGTCATTCTGATTAAGGGGCCATTGATCACAGGAAGGACAATAATAACACATTTTTGCCTTTTAGAGATTTTTGTGAACGTCTGTCACCATTCTACCAAAGTTCCGCCAAATGCTACGATTCCACAGTTCTCCAAGAACTTATTTTGTGTTTGGAACAGCATCCTGATTGGTCATTAGCTCATGTTGCTACACATCTGGGTCTGTCAGAATGCCTTAAGCACAAAAAGATTGCAGAAACTGTGGACAGCACATGCAAGGATAAACAAAGGACTCCTTTGCACATGGCATCTAGGGTATGGTAGAAATAAATATAGTATATAACCACTGACCCTATTATAAAATGACTTGCTAGAGGTCAGTTGTATCAGTTACAGGCAGGTTAAATATAGTATGGTTTGATCCCTAGACTTTCTAGCACAAGTCATCACTTGCTAGCGAAATCTGACTGCAAGTTTTGTGAAAGGATCAGTACTTAATATACACATCATCTATAATGTATATCACCTAAAATGAAAACTAAGATGTATATGATTTTACCACAAATATTTAACTCTGACCCCATGTACTGTTAATAGTTAGCCTCTGTGTTGAAAGCTATAGACAGGGGCAGATCCAAGATTTTTCAACATGGTGGCTTCTGCCTTTGAATTGCAGGATCAATGCGACGTGCCCCCCAAATGTTTAAGTTTGAGAACTCAAACCTAATTGAAAACTGTTGCACCAAAAATACTTGCTGATCGAATGCCACAAAGTAGAAGTTACAATTAGGTTCCTGTTCAGAGTGTTTGCCTTTATTTCTGCCACAATCTATGTTACTTTTATTTTATTGTATGCTCCTTCCAAAAGGAGTGGTTAGCCACCCAATCCACCCCCCTTCCCCCGCCCTTAATCCACCCCTCAAGTTGATGTTCTAACAAGCTGCTATGTTTGCTGCAGAGTGGTAAGCTGGATTTTGTTCAGACCCTCATGGATTTTGATCCAAGGATCTTGGTTAAGGACAAGTTGGGTAACACGCCACTTCATTATGCTGCTGAACGGTACCCTGATGTACTTGATTCCATGTTAAAAAAGGCCCAGCAGTTAGGTACAAGTCATTACATCACTAACACTGTAGTCAGAGCTCGTATATTTTTTTAACTACATGTACATGCCAGTAGTCTCTCAGGACAACAGTTTTTATCAAATACAGAGCAGTGCTACGGAGCAGTACTCTGCAGTGATGCAGGAAGACATTAGAAAATAGGTTTTTAAAAATATACTTTATATTGAATAGTGAATTTCATAATATATGCGTAAACAACTAGAATTTCACAGAGATGTTTGAATTATAGTTGTACAAAGGTCGTTGTTAAGAATTCAGCCAGTAAATATATAGGTGAATGCTAATGAGGGACTAAGAACTAAAATAGTCTGAAAATACTATTAAAAAAAGTGATCTTCCCCCATAATGTATTCAGATGTTGCTACAAACAACATCAGCAGTTGGCCAGCATAGTTTCATTTGGGATTAAGCAGTCGATTCAGTAGAATCATACCAAGATTTTCCTAACAACATATTTTAGTTCATATCAGGAAAGCTCTTCGAACTTTTCACCTGTTTAGGGAACCAGGTAGCTGAAGTGGTCAATGCAACAAACTCTAGTAACCAATCAGCTCTGGATGTAGCTTGCCGCTACTCTCAGGATGACAGTGTTCAAGTGTTGCTTGCAGCAGGAGCTGATCCTAACAAAGAACACGATGGATGTCATCCCATCCACACTGCATTGAATGTCAAAAGTGATGCCTGTGCGGCTACGCTCTTGGAGTTTCATCCTGAGCAGGTCCATGTGCGTGATAGTAAATATGGTGGTACACCCTTACACTGGGCAAAGACAAAAGAGGTAGATATATTTTATTGTTGTGTAGCATGTTATGTAGATTACTAAACAAGATATTATGTATAAGAAATAGAAGGGATGTAAGGAAATGAAGATAATAAAATATGTGTAAACGATATAAGAAAAATATATGATTGGACAAGTAACTTTAATTAATTTTAATTTACAATTTTAAAACAACAGGTATGCACCCACTAATTATCATTGTTTTTCCAAAAAGGCAGTTGAACTACTTGTAAACTGTGGAGCAGAAATAGATGCACATAATCATGATGGGGAGACCCCACTACATATCATGGCTCGTCGCAGGAGGCTTGACTGTGCTATAGTACTGTTGAGTCGTGGGGCTCAAGTTGATGCTCAGAGTAAAGATGGTTCCACACCATTACACCAAGCTGCACTTGTGAGTGTTCTGCTAATCAGTTATTGAAGATTTCGAGCTTAATGTGCTTGGCATTTTTCATTGCATAATTATATCATTGTTCATTTGTGAACAGGGGATCCAGAAATTTCTGAAAGGGGGGCTTATACACTTTACTAACTGTAGAAGCCATCGGTGTGGATGAGAGGTACGGCAGGCGTGAGCTAGTAGGGAAGTCTGTGTTTATCCCTCCCTGGAAATGTTTTTCTGATTTTACCCTCTAAAATGCCACTCTCAGTGTTTGTGAAGGCATTATATGTAATCTGGAGTTTACCTTACTTCTCAAGCAGAAACACAAAACTAATAATGCAGTCATGACATGTGCATGTATTATCTTTTCCTAACTTGGCAATCAGTTGGTTGGTGGAAGTGAAACAACTACACGTGAAACAATTTTATTATTCACTTGGCACTTAAAAGGTTGATGACCCGGATATAGTGCGAGCCCTTATCGTGTTTGGTGCTGATGTCAATATTATGAACAAGAGACATGAAACACCACGTCATGTAGCTACTGTTGTTCGTCAACACTGCTGGCGTGATGTTGTACATGCCCTAGGATTTGTGGGTGCAGTAGCTTGTGATAAGAGCAAGAATGGATGTACCCTGGAGTGTAGCAAACCTTTCCAGGAAGAAATGACAATTGGTAAGTACAGATAGAAGTCTTTAGTGCTAGAATAGCATTATATTGATTACCTTTTTCTCTTGGACATTATATTCCTCTTTGTGCACAACATTTCTTCATCATAGTAACTTCACATATATTCCAACCTTCAACACCAGACTGGGACAAAGCTTGTAAATTTAATCTAAGCTTAGTTTGGCAGTAACCATGTATGCATGTGTTCAAACATTGCCTGAATCCATTCAAACTTCTCTCAAAATCCAAACAGATCTCCTAATTTTTGAAGAATCTCCACTAGCAGTTGAATCTCCCTGCGATGGCCACCAGGGGTAGGGGTCAGAATTATGTGGTGACACTCCTGTGTTCAGTTGTCACAGAAAAGTGACTTTTATTGGAGATTTAGATCATTGTAGCTTAGATCTGTTCTTCTCATGCAAAGGTGGTACCAATGTGAAAGCAGCTCCTGGTTTACCTGGGTACCTTGACATCATCAAGATTGCTGCCGCCTTGGTGTCCTCTGGGCTGTTGCAATCACAGGCTGGCCAAGACTCGGTCGATGCTGGGAGAGAGGGGTCATACACACAGTCAATCTTCAAATCAAGGCACAAAAAGGAAGCAATCCTGACCATGGACGGTGGCGGTATCAGAGGTTTAATACTCATTCAGCTTCTCCTTGCTTTAGAAGAGTTTACCAAGCAGCCTATTGCTCGACTGTTTGACTGGATTGCTGGGACTAGCACTGGAGGAATTTTGGCCTTGGCTATAACACATGGTAGGCTTGTACGAAAGTACGTCAACAGTAAGTGGGAAGGGTTCCCATTTTGATGGAAATTATTTCTCCGGTCATTGTGCGTTGCTGATAAGGGAGACGGTGCGGTGTGGTCAGGTGCAGGTCCTGGGTTCAAGTGATCAATTCTAGCCCTGTGCTGGATTTGTAACACAATAATGGCCTGCTGACCTTCACATCAGCGGGCACTGTAGAAACACGCTGACTTGCTTTCTAGTTAATCCATTCTGCAATAACAATGATTGGCTTTTTGTCGTATATACTACAGTTTATGTTACTTTCTATTTCTTCCTTCATTAGGTAAATCTGCGCGGTATTGTCAGGGTCTTTACTTCAGAATGAAAGACTTGGTTTTCAAGGGTCCACGGCCGTATGACTCAGAACCACTAGAGAAATTCCTCAGACAAGAATTTGGAGAAAATGTCAAGATGACCTCTGTTCTTCACCCACGGTACAAGAAAACATAACGCTACGTTCTTTAAGTGCAGACTTGGTCAAGAAAAGTTCATGGGTTGCTTCTTTTCTTTATTTCAGAGTTCTTGTTACAGGTGTTCTAGCTGATCGACGCCCCGCAAGTTTACACTTTTTCCGCAACTTTGATGTCCCTGATGAACATGACGACGCCGTTCAATCAAAATCACCATTTTCTGCGCCACCAAAGCCCTCAGGTATTCAACCTAACATATTCTAGCAGTATGCCATTGAACCTCATAACACCGCTCCGTTCGACATTTCTTCAATAGGTCGTTTGCGTAGAAGTTAAAATGTGTGGCTTAATCGCTTGAGAGAGGAGATTTCTTGTGGTTGAAGGTCCCTTGTGTCCCTTGGATCACATCAAACTCGGAGGCATTCGATGGAAATGTTTTCCTTTTTTTCTTTTGCCTACTAGCTATTTCTGTCTTTCAAGTGCTTATGTAGGCCATCTTGGCGATTTTCAGATGGTTAAGACGAAAATCGACCATTTGTTTTACGGAAACACTAGAAAGACAGAGAAAGGTAATTAGGTTGGCGTTTATACTTTATTGCAGCATTTCAAAGGAAAACAGAAATATTGTTTCATCGAATTCCAGATCAATCCACTTTGACCACCTGTAGTAAAACTACTTTTCCATCAAGTTAACCGAACGACATGCAAAAACTGGCATTGCCGCTTGACGGACCAACAGTAAGTTGATAAATTCTTCGCACCCTATGGATCCTTTGATTTGCTTTGTCTTTTGTTGTTCTTCAGACCAGCTGGTGTGGCGTGCAGCCAGGGGTACTGGGGCCGCTCCGTCGTTTTTCCGTGCCATGGGCCCGTTCTTAGATGGTGGATTAATTGCCAACAATCCAACCCTGGATGTGCTGACAGACATTCATAAATACAACCGCTTTGTTCGGGGCGTCGAAGCCAACACATTCGGCCTGGTTGTATCCCTAGGGACGGGTGTCCCTCCCCCAGTCCATGTCCCCTCATTTGACGTGTTCAAGCCAGAGTCCATCTGGGAGGCAACCAATGTTTTCATGGGAGCTCGTGCTTTAGGAGAACTCCTAGTTGATCAGGTAACCATGGCAACTGTACTAACAGTCTACAGCCTGAAACAAACAAGTTTAAAATTTCTTAACATTGAACTCGCAAAAAGTCAAATTATTTTTATTTTTCTTGCCACAACACTGGAGCAGAACGTCGAAAAACTGTTTTTTTTTTTTAACATTATATAATGCACAATCCTTTGCGTGAGAGCATCTAGTACATCACCAAGCGGAGGAGAATGATTAAAATAATAAACATAAGGAATGTTGGCTTGATGTCATCAGAAGAAACCTATGGCAATTCTGTAGGAGAACTAAAAGCATTCCTGTTAGAAGCTGAAACCCTGGCGGGAGTTGACAGGACACTCATTTTTCTCTAGTTCCGACTTCATTTGATCAATGTATTCTTTGTAGTAAACAGTATCTGGGCCCCTGACAGTATTGAAAGTAATCTACATTTGCGTTTATGGAATATTTAAGCTTTTAGTAAGTAAAACATTTTATAAAAGCAATAGAGGAGTTTTTTTCGTGTTTACATAACCTCATCCAAACACTAGGGAGATTGGGAGAATTCTCTTAAGTTATGTAAACCCTCGACTAACTCGAGTACGTCTCAGATTTGCATAACTGTCTCCAATCCTCCCAACCCCCCTAATATTTAAATTCATCTGTTTGCAGGCTACCGCTACTCACGGCCCGGTGGTTGAGCGTGCAAGAACCTGGTGCCAGATGCTGAACGTGCCTTACTATCGCTTTAGCTCTCCGATGTCATCAGATGTGGGACTGGATGAGACTGACGATCGCATTCTTGTGAAAATGCTCTGGGAAACTAGAGTTTATGTTATGCAAAACTTTAAAGAATTCACAGAGTTGGCTAAATTACTGACATCTTGATCTCCTCTGTCCATTTACACTGCTAAAGCGGTAGGGTTGAGTAAGGACAAATCATTATCAATTGTACATTTAATATACAGTATTTAAGGTATCCTACTAAGTTATATTCAGCTAGTTTTAATGGAACAAGAAGAGAACATATCCAGAGTTTATTAATGTAAAACACGAAGTAGTCATATTTTAGCTTGCAGAGCGACGCGGAAAAATTATCCGTGTAGACGCTCTTTCTTTGCGGTTTTTTTTTTTGTTAGCCAAAAAAAGTTTGACTCGAGTTGCCGTTTAAGTAGAGCAATCGATAACGTTGCCTGAATAGTAGCACGACGTAACAGCGTCTCTGTAGAGCCAGAGGGAACTTGTGTTACAAACTAAAAGAAATATTGCCATGTGCGGCATAAATGTCTCGTGTAAGTGCTTGATAT